TTGTACTTATCCCCAAAATTTACTATTGTCCCAATATAGTAATTATGCCGATCTTATCCGGATCATCAATTAAACAAAAAACTATTTATTTAATATTGTAAAACTTGTGAAATCAATAAACTATTGTGAATCTGCTCATAATTTCGATAAAATTCACAGATTATGTATATATATACATACAACAAGATAAAATCTATTAATAAACAACATACTAAAAATGTAAAGCTCATACTAAAGACTAGTCCAGCAATCCGAATTTTACCATCTTCTAATTTGGTTGTATGTATATCGATATTACACAGGATTTACTAAATTATATGAATTAACTAGAACAGGCCTCAAAGTGCTGGTAATCAACTAGAAGTGTAGCTAAAATTAATTTTTTGCATTGACTAGCGCTAACTTATCTGTCAGATAACCAACACTTTGGGTGCCGTCCTGGCTAATTGAGTTCTGTTCAAAATAGACCAATAGAAAAACATAGATCCATTCTAATACTAAAAATGTTAAATTTATGAGATCTATATAACAAATTGTATGAGTTCATATCTAAGTTGCACCATCTTTCAATTTGATTGTTATATATAGAAGTGTAATGCCAATATAATAAATATCAATACAATTTTATATAGTCATTGAAAATGACTAATTAATATTCTTATTAACAGTGCTATATAACTGGTCAGGTAACCAACACTTTGGGAACCATTCTGATTAATTTTGTTTGACATAGATCAACAAAAAAAATAAAATTAATACAGTATATGTCTATTCTAAAGTATAAAAAAAATATATTTCAAAAAAATAAATAAATACACCTTTGATCAAACAAAACTGATTAAAAATTGTATTAAAACAATAATTCTTTTAATATATTTGTCCAATTGGCAAATCAATTGATAATATTAGACCGGAGTACTGATAATTTAAATCAAGTTAATACTTTTATAAAACGTAAGTCTCTAAATAGTTTAGAAAAACTTGATATTCTAGAAGTAACATAATTATATATACATGGTTCTTATTAAGATTCTAAGAACCGAATTCCTAACTTGGTTCCTAACTTGGTCAGATTTGGGACAAAACAGTAGGGTATATTATTTAAATAATACACAAAATAGCCAAAATTATATATAGATAGCATTTATCTAAGTGATCAAAAATACTAAACTAAAATACAATTATCTCGATTATTGTATTGATGTTTGATAAAATAATGATATAAATAAAGAAATTGTAAAAAACATACTAGAATTATTTACCATTGCTTTGCCATTTTTGAATCCTATATTATAATATGCAAAGCTTTTTAAAAAAACTTAAATTTGATAGACAATTATTTTACAAATCGCCCTTTGACTTGTATCAAGAGTTTTGCAATGCATATGCATACTATATACAAGCAACACTCTGTACTCCCACTCCAAACAAGCAAAGATTATTAAGTGATACGTGAGCAGCTTGAAAAGAAATTTGGGGACAGAATAAAACAGTCATTCATGAAAAAATACATACATACCTGGCCACTGAGCCTCATATAACCTGTTCGTATCAAAGAATAATAAGACCATTGCTAGTTAACTCCAACCATGCTTCAACCTCAACTCCTATTTCAATATCAAGTTCTCTTCAACTATCTATTAATATATGTGTTACTGCAAAAAATGCAACAGTACAAAATGATGCTATTGCAAAAATCCAAGAAGCGACACAACAAATGTTAGAATATAAACAGTCTTGCCTACTTATATCAAACCAAGATTTTAAAAATGCAAGTTTGTTAAAATTGATGAAAAAAAAAGTAATAAAAGAAAATGAAAAAAAATTAGAAAAGCTTAAAAACTATGCTGAAGTGCAGGCAAAGTTTAGAGCAAAAAAAATGAAACAAATTAATGAAGATGGAATAGTTGAACAATATGACAAACCCTTTATTTAGATCTTTGGAACAAAATCCATGATAGTATTGAATTTGGTGCAGCATATATGAAAAGAAGGAAAACCATTATTAAGGTTCGTACTGTCAAACATTTATGTAAGGCATTGGAGGAGAAATATAATATATACCTTTCTTATTAATGTTTATTCATGTATTTGGAACCTTGGTACAAACATACTTTCACCACATGTCACTATCATTATCCAGCAAAGGTTGGTCTTGCATCTGTAAGTAGAACAGACATGAAACAACATATTGATAAGCATTACTGCTTGGCATCTGTCAAAGTAGCCCAAGTATTTGCAGAAGTTTTTGCAGATGAAGCTACTATCATCTTTTAGGATGATAAAGCTAAAATTGGCTTAGGTGTTCCTGCAATAAGCCGTACTTTTAAAATAAATGAACCTGTTACAGTTGAAGACTATGATTTTGTAAAAGTCAATAAAATGAAACTTTTACTTTTCTCATTAACCCGACTAACTCAAATACCAAACTTTGCACAGGTTAACTTGCTATATTTGTTAGACTAGAATACTTCGTAGACACATCATCATCAACTCATATAGCAGATTTATTAATTCTTTTTTCTGATCAACAATTGGCTTCCACTCTACTAAAACAAGACAAAGTTAAACCAATTCTGGTTCTCCTTGTTGATGGAGAACCAGATAAGAACCCTAGATATTTTAAAAATATAATTGAATATTGTAACCTATTTTGTGTTCTTGAATTTGATTACTTAACTGTTCGTACACATGCTCTGGGTCAGAGTGTTTACAATCCTATAGAACATGCTATGTCTTCTCTCTCAGAAAAGCTTGCTGGTATTATGCTACCTGTAGATGAGTATGGTTCACATTTAGATACTCAAGGAAATGTTATAAATAAAGAATTAGCTCAATGTAACTTTGAGTTTTTAGAAAAGTCACTGTGCAATATTTGAAGTAAGGATGATATATATGAAAAAACTATAAAAGCACAATATATTAATTAGAAAAGTTTACTATTCTTGGATATTGAGCCTTTGACATGGGAGTGGATTGAGAATCACACTAAGTTATATTGTTATTTAATAAACATAAAGAAATGTAAAAATCACCAGTGTTGTAATGAATATAGAGCCCCTGACACTGCCATTCTATTAGATCAAAATGAAGGATTTCTCTCTTCTGTTACTAAAGACAAAAATGGTCATTTCATTAATCCAATACATGTACTTCAATATTTTGATAAGTTAAAAATTCCACCTTATAATCATTATTGTCTGTTGATTTCACTTGAAATATACCAACATCTGTATTGTGACAAGTGTGATAAATATTATTCCACTTTAAAGTTTATAGAAGAACATAAATGTTATCAACATCTAGTAAAATGTGGCCAACCTCAAAATTTTAATAAATTTCCAACACAAGCTTCCCGAGTTGCTGAAGATGTGTCAGTATTAATTGAGTATAGAGAAGATTTAATAGAACAAATGTATACACACACACGTGAAGTACAATTTGATAGTGAATAGTTTTTATATAATTGTAGAAGAAATAGAATTCAAAAAAAAAAATTGAATGATTACTTGCGTTTTAATGATTGATTACATATTAGTTATCTCCTTTAAATTTATATTTAGTCTTAATTAGCATTAGTGATTAACCTCCAAATTAGTTAGATCTTTGAACTTACTAGTGTAAAAGCTATAACTCAATACAAATTAGGCTTTGAGAATTCAAACCCAATTTTCTGTGACTATACCGAAACGTTTAAAATATTTTGGGGTTAAGTTCATATTTATACTTGTATAGTAGAATTCTTTTTAATACTAGTTTTCATACCATCTTTGTTAAAAGTTATTTTATTGGCCGATTGTGTATTAGAATAAAAGATGATAAAGAAAGTGTACTGCTATTATTTTAATTAAAAGACTATAAATTGGAATAAGTAGTAGTAAAGGAAGCATGCTGCTATTATTTTAATTAAAAGATCATAAATATAACTAGTGTTCCTATGAACCTGAACTGAACTGAACTGAACTTTGGTCAAATTCAGGTTCAGGTTTAGTTCAATCAGGTTCAGTATTGAACTTTTAAGTCAAGTTCATGTTCAGTTCAGGTTCAGTAT